CCAAAGAAGTTAAATCACATCATATTAACTATTATCTTGCACCTTTGGTTAATCAATTACTTGAATTGTGGAATGGAGTAGAAATTCGCATAAATGAATCTTCTACAGGTAAAAAAATCAAATGCACTATTATATGCTACTCATGCGATATTTCAGCAGCCAAAAAGTTATGTAGACAAATATCAGCAAAAATTGCATGTTTTCAATGTAAAAAACATTCACAGTTTGATGCTAGACATCAACCTAATTTTGGTAGATTTTCGGATATAGAAGACTGGTTTGTAGAGTGTGATATTGAGAAAATTAAAAAAGATGTATATGAATAGAAACTGTGCAATACTGAGAATTAAAGAAAGAAACACCTCTTTGAAAAATTGGTGAGATGGTTAGAACTCTACTGTCTTCCTTATTTTAACCCAATCAAATATGTAATTGTAGACCCAATACATTGTTTATTTTTGGGAATTGCAAAGTGGATTGTTATGTGACTTTGGATAGAAGGTGAAAAATTAAGTGCAGATAATCTGAAACTTATAGATAAAAGGGCAAAAAAATTACAACCTCCATCAGATATTGGGAGAATTCCTTATAAAATTGCTACAGGAGAGGGATTTTCTGGATATACGGCAGACCAGTAGTAATTATTTATAATGATATATGCCACTGCTATTACTTGAGATTTATTAACAGAACCAGATCAACATATTCTTGCAAACTTTGTTAGAGCATGTAATCTGTTGGTCTGTAGAATATTAGACAAAGAATCACTTAATGAAGCTCATCAAAGATTATTAAATGTTGTAAAGTTAATAAAACACCATTATGAACCTGAAAAAATTACTCCTAATATCCATTTAAGTTTGCATTTATGCGAAAATTGTATAGATTACAGACCATTATATTTATTTTAGTGTTTTTCTTTTGAACGTATGAATGGAATCCTAGGTTAATATTGGGCTATTATTATATATACATTATAGTGTAAAAATACTAACTGATATATATTATTTATATTTATAGGCTCATATAAGACCAGCCATAGGAATATAGAACCAGAACTTTTGAGAATTATTCTCACGAATAATTCTTTGGATGAAGTTGTATCAAATGCCGAAAAAAATGTCAGATTATCCGATTCTCTAACAATATTAAAAGGAAGAATTTCAGGTGGTAGCATAGATATTTCAGATGAATTTGAAACACAAGATCTTCTTCAATTTTATAAATTAAGAAATATTATTGATCAAGGAGAATCTTTTGGCTACGAACCATTTCCTGGTATATTTCTTGGTCCAAAATTGGAAAATGCCATTTTACAAAATGATATTTTAGACCTTTTAGTTGAATTTTATAATAATAGAGTAACAGGTTATCAATTTACCACTCTAGGAGATATATCGGAAATTGATCAAATATCTGTATTTCCTAAAATAATTCAATATGGGCGATTAAAATTGGGGTCAAAAATTTTTAGATCTACATTCTCAGCTCGCCATATCAAATCCTCAAGAATTCTAGCAAGATTTGTTGCTCAAGAAGATGAATCAGTAGATTCATATTCTGGTCAAGTTCGATTCTATTTCGATCACACTATCTATCTTCCTTCTGGTGAACTAACATATCACCTTGCATTTGTAAGGTGGTATAACCTGTTGAAAATTATGAAACCAGGTTCCAGGTAAAAATTAAAGAGGATGATTCTAGTTGTAATATAGAATTGTGGGATCAAAAATTTTATGAATTATGCAGGGACTGTATAATTTTCATACATCAAATCTATTCCTGGTTTGTAGCAGGTACATATACCGATACTGAAAATGATCCAAAAACATATATAGCCGTAATTCCTTTATATAGAAAGTATAATTTATGAATGCGATTTATTTTTATTTAATTTTTATTCGTATCTTTAATTCATATCGATATATATTATTTTTATTCACATTTTCTTTATATACTGTACATATTAAATATTCATATCAATATTATATATCAAATAAAATTAGTAACTTTGCCAATATCTTTAAACATTTATATGTTTTAATTGGTGATATATAACTTATAACATTATAAAGATATTAAACATTTCTTTCATTATTATCCCAATATTCATCATATAAAAATATAAACAATATTATGATTTACTTTCATTATTTAACTAACTCATAACTAGCATCAAAGTAAGATATCAGGTGTAAAGTTATAAAATTTAATGCAATATATTTAAACGATCCGATAGCTAATATTATCATATTATTTCACGGATATTCATATCTGTAAAATCATGTGATAAATGCTATCAACAAAGTTCTAAGTTATAATTTGTTTAATTAAACTATTGAATATAAATAAAAATAAATCTATAATTATATATTTACAACCAATATTGAAGATAATGGTCCATAATCCATACAATTTTCACATAAATGCAAACTTAAATGGATATTAGGAGTAATTTTTTCAGGTCTATAATGGTGTTCTATTAACTTTACAACATTTAATAATCTTTGATGAGCTTTGTTAAGTGATTCTTTGTTTAATATTCTACAGACCAACAAATTACATACTCTAACAAAGTTTGCAAGAATATGTTGGTCTGGTTCTGTTACTAAATCTTATGTAATAGTAGTGGCATATATCATTATAAATGATCGTCACTGGTCTGCCGTATATCTAAAAAATTCCTCTCCTGTAGCAATTTTATAAGTAATTCTCCCGATATCTGATGGAGGTTGTAATTTTTTTGCCCTTTTATCCATAAGTTTCAGATTATCAGCACTTAATTTTCCACCTTCTATCCAAAGTCGTATAACAATCCACTTTGCAATTCTCAAAAATAAACAATGCATTGAGTCTACAATTACATATTTGATTAGGTTAAAATAAGGAAGACAGTAGAGTTCTGACCATCTCACCAATTTTTCAAAGAGGTATTTCTTTCTTTGATCCTCAGTATTGCACAGTTTCCATTCACATGCATCTTTTTTAATTTTCTCAATATCACACTCTACAAACTAGTCTTCTATATCCGAAAATCCACCAAAATTAGGTTGATGTCTAGCATCAAACTGTGCTTATTTTCATATTGAAAACATGCAATTCTTGCTGATATTTGTCTACATAACTTTCTGGCTGCTGGAATATCGCATAAGTAGCATATAATAGCGCATTTGATTTTTTTACCTGTAAGAGATTCATTTGTGCGAATTTCTACTACAATTCAAGTAATTGATTAACTAAAGGTGCAAGATAATGGTTAATATGATGTGATTTAACTTCTTTGGGTCCCAGTAGCAATGCCAGAGTAATTATATTTTGAGGCTTGAATCTGAGTTCATAGGGCAAATTACAGATAACTGCATATATTGCATCAGTAGAATATATAGAATTTTGGAAGGGGCTAAACCAGTCCAGATTAATTATAAGTCCAAGATGTGTATCGGCATGTTCTGATGTAAAGAAATCTTTATTTTGATCTTTAAAATTTTTCTATATATTACCATTATAAATATCGGCAAGGTAATTATTATTTATATTTCTATTAATCCATTTTCTGCATGATGCTTCAAATTCGGGTTGGCCGTATAATAACTTGAGCTGATGTTTAATACTAATTGTTGAATAAGTAAGCAAAGGATGATATAATGTTCCTTTCTTTGTAAGTACCTTCTTTGCCAATTGTTGATTACAAGGTTGCCTCATTTTAGACATTAGGTAACTAGGATATTTTACAAAATTACAATTAAGACATATCGGGATTTGTCCAGACAATTTTGTTGATACTTTATCAGGTTCATATAACTTATTACATTCTGGACATGTTGCATAATTATTTATACATATATCTAATCCTATTAATTTTTGAGCCATATATAGTGATTCAGTAAAGTTTTTGAATTAGTTTTTATCAAGATTAGTCAATAGATAATGCATAAACTTAATTAATGATTCTGTTGCAGTATTAGGCAACTGATATCTTTGTTGGTATTTCAAGATCCATAATAATATCCAACTAAAGTCTTCAAGATTTTCAATATCTTCGAATATT